GTATCTCCTGGTAAAATAGTTCTTGCCATGATCAAAGGAGGCTAAGAGTTTTGTCCAGGTGTTCAGTAATAGAGTATCTGGAATGATGACTAGTATAAATTGGATTAATTTTATATCAATATGTGACACAATAAAATAATGCAGGTATGTGTAATTGATGATTTATAGATTTCTGAGAAGCGCAGTTGTTCCCTGTGCCATAAAATCATTGTATTCCGAAAACTCTTCTTTAAATGATTTGAAACTTTTTATATTTCCTTTTGTGTGCTACAGGAGAAAAGAATAAAAAATAAAATTTGACAATTTCTGAATTCTAATGTAGTCATCTAAAAATTACCAGAGAATATTTAGCCTATTGAAAATATTCCTGAACAGGGGTGCCTGGGGGTGCTATCAGTGGAGCATCGACTCTTGGTTTCAGCTCAGGTCGTGATCTCAGGGTCATGGGAATAAGCCCTGTGTCTGCTTAAGATTCTCTCTCTCTCCCCATCTCTCTTTGTCCCTCCCCCACCCCTACACTCTCTGTGGAATAAATAAATCTTTTAAAAAAGGTACTGCTAAACACAAATATTACATATTAAGGTGCTATCCTCATTAAACAGATTAAAATTAACTACTCCTTTCCTGTTCTCCCACTGCATTTTGTATATATATTGTCTTATTTTGCATATATGTATTTAAATATTTTATTTTATATTTACTTAAATATATTTATTTGTTTAGTATGTATACCGTGTCTGTTTTTATTAGCTAGGGAGCTCCTGACAGGTAAAGCCAGTATTATCTCATTGTCTTTATCCTCTACAGTGTGTTATAGAAGAAATGAGTACTCAGAATGTGTATTACAATGATTGGAAATCACTCACATCATTTAACCTACTCAATGCATGTTATGTGCCAGAGAATAAGCAATGAGTGGTACAAAAATCTCTGCCCTGAGAGCTTGCATTTTGGTAAGTAAAATAAATACATTAAATGTAAGGTCTGTTAGCTGGTTAAAAGTGCTATAGAGAAAAGTAAAGACAGCATGTTGGTACAAGACGGTGGCATTTCAGCTTCCTATGGGGAGTTAAGGAAAGGCCTGAAAGGAAAGGAATTTAAGTTAAGCTAAAGACTTGAGTGAAGACTGCGAGAAGTGGTGGACAAGCCTTGTGTATACTTGGGGGAAGAGCATCACAGGGAAGGGGTAGCGAGCTTAAGCACTCTGGGGCCGGCATGAGGCCAGTGCAGGGGAACAGAGTGAGCAAGCAGGAAAGTACAAGGAGTAAAGGCCACGTCAACCGGGCCTGCCAGGCTATGGTTCAGGACCTTGACTTTGACTCTGAGTGACATGAGAAGGCTTTGAGCAAAAGGGTAACTTTGCTTATACTGAAAAGGTTCATTCTGGCTTTTGAGTTCCTATTTGGCTGCAGAGGGGCAAGAGCAGAAACAAAGAAAACAGTTAAGAGATGGATGTGGACATACTGTTGGAGATGCCTGTTAGACATGTACATGGAAATACTAACAAGATATTAGATACGAACTCAGAGCTCAGGAGAGAGATCCAGGCTGGAGATAATAAATGAGGGAGTTTTCAACCCAATGGTGGTAATTAAAACATCGAGACTAATTGAGCTCACAGGTGATGAGTGTAGACAGAGCTCCGGGGTGCTCCAAAGTTAAGGTGTCAAGAAGATGAAGTAGCAAAGGCTAGTGCTGGACACTACAGGAAAATACTTCTATGAGAAGGGAACTGCAAATAACAAATATTGCTAGGAAGTCAAGCAGGAAGACGTGAGGACTGAGAGCTGGCCTTTGGATTTAGCAACATGGAGTTTAACATGGACTTGACAAGAGCTGTTGGGGAAGCCAGATGGGAATGGGGTCAAGGTACTTGGAGGAGAGGAACTGGAGACACTGGTAGGGAGGAAATGAGTCATGGGAAGGTGCTTAAGGAGGGTGGAATCAAGAGGGTAAAAACATCTTTCCCCCCCACCCAAAAATGGAGAAGTAGCCTGTTTGAGGGTGATAGGCATAGTCAAGAACAGGGATAATGTACTTGATGTTTTAAGAGGGACAAGGGAGAATTGTTGGAGTAACATCCTCGGGTAAGGCATGAGGGGAGGGGGAGGGGCTGGCCGCAGTAAGAGCTGGGCATTCATTCTGTCCTGAGGAGGAGGGACAGGGAGGACAGAATAGGAGGCCACAGATGTTAGTAGAGGAGTAAATTTGGGGGAGGAAATTAATTATCTAGCAGGATAATAACGAGTTCTTTCCATTTTACAATCTTTGCAAGATGTGTATTATTATATACTTTCAGAAGATATTAAAAGAAACAATTCATGCCGACATATGGACTTCTGTGAGTAATGCAGTGAGAGCAGTTTTAAAGCTTACTCTACAAGCTTACTCTAGGGTCAGGAGCGACCTCTAGTGCTTCATTTAGGTCATTAATTTTTTTTCTTGTTTTCTTGCTCTTCAATGTACAAAATAGTACTATCCATATTTTATATTATTTTTAAAGAAACGATTACAATTCACAGCTCAGTTTAGAAAAATACCAGGCATTTGAGTAAAATAAACCCAAACCATCTGCAGTCCAAGCTGGAGTTGCTATTATCATTATTTTCTCCTGTAAGTATATCATTCTTTGCCAGACTGCCAATACATATGTTCATTCTGCTTCTTGAACCAGTGGTTTTATCAAACCCAGAGGAAGGACAACTGGTGGGTCACTGCTGATCCAAGACGGAGCAATTCTCTCAATGCTACACAAAGTACAAACTCCTCATATTTTTCATTCCTTGTTTCCCTTGATCTATGTTTGTCACTGGGTTTCCTCTGCCTGGGATGTCCCCTCACCCTGCATTAATTCATTTTCTTAGGTGAGTCTTTCCTGATCTTCCAGACTACCATAAATGTCCCCTATTATATAATCTTACAGTGGCCTATGCGTCTGCCATTCCCCCCAACTGTAATGAAATAGTCGATTTTGTAATGATTGTTTAATGTCTGTTTCTTTTGGTAAATCATGAGCCATGTAAAGGTTAAAGGCCGTGTCTGGTGTTTTCACCACCATCTCCTCAGCACTTAGCTCAGTGCCCAGCACACAATGAGGACTCAATAAATACCTAAATATGGTATCATGCGGGAGACTCTTGCCATGCCCCTTTCAGATCCCACTGCAGAAGAGACTGCATTTCAGAAGTGGATTTCTAGCTCTTGAATGCAATTTGCAGTTGCTTTAGGTGCACCTGTAACAGACAGAACAACTTGTTAAAAAACTATTCCAGCTACTCTTTCAGTAGCTCAATTTAAATTTCTAGCCGGCAAAGCAACTCTTTACAAAGAAGGCTGAATCCTCGGGTGTGACTCAGAACTTATCAGACCATTCTTTTTCCCCAAAACAGAAGCAAGGGAAAGACAATAAGATGCAAACAGAGAGGGAAGTACAGTGCAGCCATATCCATGACCTTAACCCACACAGTGTCACTTACTCTCAGATTTAGAAACATTCTGCCACCTACAGGACTTAACTCAGCAGCAGGACCACTAAAATGGACATGGTGATAGTGTTTACCTGCCGTTAGGGCACCCCAGCCTCCCCTTTAGATTGTTTCTGAGAACTTCTACTTAACACCAGAGACAGGTAAGAGTGGAATGGTTGGTTGTGAAATACCATACCACAGTTCCTTGGATTCAAGACACGTGACTTGGAATTGCAAGGGAACACAGTAAAATACTCTGAGCCGGAAGTTGTCCGAGTCTACCTGGAAAGCCTGTATTATGGTATCTTCTGTCCCTCTGCCCCAATTCTTGGTGTTATAATTTTGATGTAGTCCTTTCAGGGCCCTGGGAGAGATTCTCTTCTATTCATTGACCAAAGGCAGGATTTTTCTAAAATCATAACTTTTTAACATTTTTATGTAGGCATATATAATGATTAACCCTACTCAATAGGAATTTTGTTTATTCTGAACACCTTCTGATTAAATCATCAGAATTAATACACATACATACCTATATCTGTGGCAATGTTTTCTCAAACTCCGTGTTCCTTCCTTTTCTGGAGCTCTTCCCCATATGGTTTGTGTGGATGGCTCCTTGTCTTCCTTTGGGTCTCAGAGAGGCCTAAGAGAGGCTTAACCTGACCACCCAATCTACTCAGTCCACTCTTCCTTTCCTCTCTTTGGTAGACCCTGTTATTTTCCCACGCCATTTATCGCCAAGTCCTCATATATTTATTGTGTCCATTCATCAATTTTGTCTATAGCACTGGTCTGTGAGGTTCCCAAGGACAGGGACCTTGTTTGTTTTGTTCACTTTTGTATTCCTAGAGCCTAATTTCTTTGACATATAATAGGTGCTCCCTAAACAACTGCTGAATAAACGAATATTTCCTTTGTCATTTCACTTATACTTGTTCCTTCTACTGCACTTTAGTTCCTGCTATTGCATTGTGCCTCCCTGGGGGATAGGAGACAACTACAATGCTCCTTCCCTCCATCATGGAGTACCAAGAAGGCAATTCCCTTGTTGAGAAGCCGAAGGCTTCTCCTGGGCGGCTGTCACGCACCCAAAGGTGCACAGAATTGTATTAGTGATAGCCAGTCTGAGTCAGAAGAGCTGCCAAAAATGTTTTTACAGTTCCACTCACGGTTCTTGGGCACCCAAAACTGCGAACTACTGCCATTACAATTAGGTGACAATTAGCACGGCGTTGAAGTGTGCGCGCGTGCGTTAATTTGCATAACGAACGGAGGCGTCCTACACAGTCTCTCTAAAATGAAATCCAGATGGATAGACACATCCTTCCTTCCTTCCTTGCCTTCCAGGAAGCTGAGCCTCCTGCAGCAACTCCTCTGCCCAATGGGGGGCGGCAGCATCCTAGTAACTCGCTGCCTGAAGATGTGTAGGTGGGTGGAGAGAGATTCGCGTTCAAAGTCTTTTTGACGCTACCCGCTCTCCGTAGCTCCTTAGCCCGCTTGAGTTTCAATGCGCGTTGTTGTTTGACGAAGGGAGTCCTATACACCGCCTGCTGCTCTCCTGATCATGGCTTCTCCGAGTTCCTTCACCTACTATTGCCCTCCATCTTCCTCCCCTGTCTGGTCAGAGCCGCTGTACAGTCTGAGGCCCGAGCACGCGCGGGAGCGGTTGCAGGACGACTCGGTGGAAACAGTCACGTCCATAGAACAGGTGAGGCGGCCAGACTGAGCGAGGCGCCCACGCGGGGACTTCTGGGAGCGGGAGTCCCTTCCGCGGGGCCGTAGGCGTGTGGAACTCACCGGGGAACTACTACTCCCACAGTGCACCGCGGTGCCTCCTCTCCGGGACGCTCTGGGCTTCTAGGCTTGGTTCTGTAGAGGAATGGAGCGTTTGTGGGGCCAGGTTGGGGAGGGGTCGTTATCAGGGTTGGTTGGGAGGGGAGTATAGTACCTGGGTCCTCTCTGGCTAAGGAAGCGGGGAGAATCGTGTTCTGTACCTGGTGGACTAAAGCAGCTCGGGCGGGTCAGACAGCCCGTTTCATTCGGCCGGGACATCGGGAGTTTTTCAGATGTATACTGCACTTTCCTCACCTGCTCTCAGTTTTGGGACATAGAGGGGACGAGAAGCGGCCAGAGTGTGGTCATGCCATTCCAGGGTCTGTTTAATTTCTGACCTACACGGCTAGGTGTAGGGCCTGCCTTGTGGATGGGCATTTTAATAGTCATTCAATCGAGTGCCAGCAGAGTATTGGACACAGTGTTAAACGCTGGAAATACAATAAAATAAAAGTTTCTGACCAAGAGCATGGCACAGCCTGGTTGAGAAAAACAGTACTGTCTGGAAAGCGCTACAGTAAAATTATACATTGTTAGACGATTTACCGTTCATTCACTGAGGCCTCCAACCTGTCACTTTGAAAAGTGCTTGAGGAATGAGTAGTGAACTCTTGTTCTTCTTTTCATTTTCCATTTGGAATTGTTCCCAAGTTATTGTGGAAATGTTTGCCCATCTGTCACTAGAAGTGGTTGAGATGATTCTTTTTAGTACTAACAAGTAAGCATCAGGCTTTAGTACTAACAAATAAAACAAGATCTCTTAGTAAGATCAGTTCCCAGGCTTAATCTCAGAGAAACTTTCTTTGACTTTCATACCTGAACTTGGAAGCCTGCATTTAGGCAAAATTAGTAATCGTAGTTATCATATTTTATATTTGTGACTATGAATATAATTATAAATTCATAACAAAAAACAAGGACTTGAGTACACAGTTACACACGTAGTAGCCGAAAGCATATTATAACTGGAGATTTATGCTACATGGGGTTTAACCCTTACCTTTTGAATCTAGCTCCCCAGCTTAGTTAGCCTACCAGTGTGTCTTTCTACAGTAGTTTTTTGTAAAAGATTGCAAAGAAGTCTCCCATCAATGAAAAACCTACAGGATCTTTGCTGTATTCCTAAGTGACAGACTGTAGAGTTTACTCAGGTCAAGCCTTTTCTTTTCACGTGATGTAAGACTATTGGGTCACTTTTTATGTAATTAACTGACCCAGCAGATAAGGATATGAACAGAATACTGGTGGAGAAAAGGGAGTCAGAAGCTGGTCTATTAATTTAGAGAATAGGGCGGAGACTTCCATGGTTAAAGGAGCAAGTCAAAAACAGGAACATTATCAGAAGTTTTACTGATCTGCTCTTTTTCCTCTAGTACTTTTTTTTCTTTTTTTTTTTTTTTTTTAGCCGAGTGTCCCTGCTTAGTTCCTGCCAGGAAATACTGGCACTTTTATTTTAAATGTCAAGGCATAATAAGTGATGCAAAAATGGATGGAACATGATTCTGGGCTGCCAGAGGGTTAGCCAAGGCCAAGGCTGGGTGCTGTTACAGGGTGTGTTTCAAATCTAGGCCTAACTATGTGATAGATAGTAGAGCATCTTGTTTGTCCTTCCCATGTCATTCTTCCAGTTCACATTTTAAAAGTCTGGGATAAACCATTCCAGAGAGTAGGAAGATGATGCAGTATCTCATACAAATGGTTACTTCAGTGGCAACACTACTAATCATAGTAGTATCCATTTACTGAGCCCCAGTTCTGTGCTAAATGCTCTCCATACATTGTGTCACTCAATCCTTTTCCATTTCACACATGAGAAAACAGGCTTAGGTACTAGGTGGGTAGGTTAATGATGATATATACTCATAAGAAGTACCAACCTTGTCCAGAGGAGTTGTCTACAGAAGACACTGGTTATTCTTTTTGTTCTGTCCGTTTGTTTATGGGGATTTACTGGCAGGGTTTAATTTTGTGCCATTGCCAATAAGAACAAATGCTTATCTCCTGTTCCCTGTCTGATTATCAGGAGACTGTATTTATTTGTTAAGCAACAATTTGATAATAGGAATGAAACCTATAAACAGTGTAAGGAGCCCTTAGCTAGGGATTCTTCTGTTCTATTCATTCATGTTTTTATTGGTTCAACACATACTTGAGTGTCTTCTATGTGCTGGGCTCTGTTCAAGACACTGGACATAAGGCAGTAAACAAAAGAGGCCAAGTTGGTGACTTTATGAAACTTTTGTTCTAGGCCCGGGAGGCAGTCAACAAAAAAGGGGAAAAAAACTACGTTATCTTATCTATCTAAATCTCCATCTGTCTATCTGTCTGATTTTAATAAGAAGTGCTGTGGAAAAAAAGAAACAGGATAAGAGAGATGAAGTATGCCAGGAATGGGTGGGGGAGGAGCAGGAAAGGTTTTTTATATCAGGTGGTAAGGGAGACCATCTGATGACGTGCCTGCCACTTGAGCTGAGACCTGAAGTAAGTAAGGGAACAAGCCGTGCGTGTGTCTGGGGAAGAAGCATTTCGGGCAGAGAAAGCAGCAAGTATAAAGGCCCTGAGGCCCCCCTAGTGCCTGATGAGTGAGTAGAGTGAGTGAGTGGTCACTGTGAGGGCAGAGATTAGTAAACGGGAGAATAGGACGTGAGGTCAGATCACGTAGGGCCTAATCAACCATTGTAAGTATACTTTCAGTTACCCTGACCGAGATGGGGAGCCATTTGGCTGGATAGCTTTTTGTCACCTCCCCAGATCCACTTTATCCTTTTCCACCCTGCTCTGCAGGTGTGCCCCTAGAGGTGGACCCGCACTAACATGCTCCCTTGCCCTATGGCCTCTGGGTGTATTTGGCCATGGGGTGTACTGATAGGGAGTGAGGGAGACGGAGGCTGAGATTAGCGCATTAACTCCTTTCCTGACAGATTGTGTGGTCTGGAGGCGGTCTCTAGACTTGAGGTCAGGACTCTTCTCAGGCACCTTTCATTGGAGCTCTCAGGCACCCTCTCCGCTCCTTCTCTTCACAATGTTTCAGGCCTAGGTGGAGATTGGGTACCCCCTGTGTTGCCTGCCCTAGGGCACTGCACTCTCTCTTGTGGTTTCCCTACACCTGCCCACACTTTTGTAACTGGTTCTTTTTTAAAAAATTAGTTAATTAAAAAAAATAAACATCTAATGTATTATTAGCCCCAGGGGTACAGGTCTGTGAATCACCAGGTTTATACACTTCACAGCGCTCACCATAGCACTTACGTCCCCAATGTCCATAACCCCACCACCCTCTCCCTGCCTCTCTCCCCCCAGCAACCCTTAGTTTGTTTTGTGAGATTAAGAATCTCTTACGGTTTGTGTAACTAGTTCTTTGATAAACTCTCCTCAAATCACCCACTTCAGATGTGCTATCTCTTTCCTGCCAGGAGTCAGACTGATCCACGATTTGAGAGTTTCAACCCAATCTGACTAGCATTTTCACAGGCCCATGTCGGTCACTGTTGGGATTGTGAGGAGGTGAGGAAGGGTGCAGGGGGACCCGCTAGGAGGCTGTTGCAGTACTTCAGGTGATGGATGATGGCAGCTTAGCTCAGGCTGTGGTGGTGGAGATACTGAGCAGTGGTCAGGTTCTAGGTATTTGTAAAGATTTCTACCTGGACAAGCTGTTTCCCGAACGGCTTGGTGCTTGGAGAAGATTTTACAACTCTAGAAAACAAGATGTGGTTGTCTTCCTTTTTTGTGCTATCTGCATTTCCCCTTTTGCAAATGCTCTGTGATTCAGGCCTGTGAGTTAATACCAGTACAGTCTCAGAGGTAGTAGGTTTGCCAAAAACTGTTGCTTACAGAAGGTACGACTCCTGTTTTTCTTTTAGTTTGTCCTTAGAAACATGGGCAAAAGTATCCTCCACTTGAAGTGGCATGAGGTCATTAGACAGCATTCAGTTAAATGACAGTCAATTGTGAGGAGTATCTGGAAGGATTATCAGTCTTAGTTCCCACCCTCAAAATTCTTTTCTCTTAGAGAGAAAAAAGAATATGCCGGAGGCAACCACAGAATGATTTACAAAAGCGTGTAAGTAAGTGCTACATTATGATTGCATTGCGCAGGGGTTTGGGGGAGCAGAAGCCATATGTTGTGGGCTGAGGTGGTCAGGACAACTTCATGGAGAATGTTGGCTTATAAAGGATGGAATTGGTGGGTAGCCATTCCAGTCAGAGGAGCTGTTAAGGACGAAGACTCCACCATACCGGGCATGGAGGGGGCTGGTTGGCTATGGGAGGAAATTAGGTCAGCTGGGTGGGGGTTGGGGGTGGGTGGTGGAGAGGGATGGAGACAGGCTGGGGAGCTGGCTTCAAGTGTTGAGCGTTGTGCCACTGCAGCTCCTGACGGAGGGAACATCAGGGGTCCAGGAATGAATCCTGGACACCTTCTGTTGACTTATTTCAAGTTATAATCTCTGAAAGATTATTAAATGTAGGTGAAACAAGTCACTAAATACGATCAAACTTACTAGTTTTTTGCTCTTCCGATGGAAGGGACCAGAGCTCTGCTTGGTCACACAGTCAGCAGGTTAGCTATGGTGAATTGGTTTTGCTTTATTGAAATTCAGCATGTATCATGTTGCTCAACTCTAAGATAATTCCAAATATCAAATTTCCCCCAGTTTTCCTATTAAAAAGTCCAAAAAAAAGTTTTTTGGTCAACTTGAAAATATACATACTTTTAAATGTGTAAACAAATCAAATGCTTACCTACAAAATTTAGATTTTATATCTAGGTACATGTATCTTTCTAGAATCACTCACTTTGTAAAATCACACTAATTTAGAAATATTGTTTTTCCTCTTTATTTATAAAAAAATTTTCTCCAAAATCTTCACATACAT